AGACTATCCGGTACTTTTAGCTGTTGGTTACAGTAACATGTCTATGAATTAGTAATATGTAATGGATACAAGATATAGTAGTTATGTTACTGTTTCATTTGTTATTTATTTAAGAAATAAACAGTATGATTCATGATATTAGTAATATATCAAGGGGTAATTTGTTTCAGGAGAATCAAAGAATAAAGTTTAAAATCATCCCGTTCTTATCCTTTTCTTATTGGTTGAAACCATGAGTCAATGGAAGTTAGATCACCATGGAAAGCGGGAAAGCATTGAATAGCCATTTCGCCCTAGTACTGGACTCGTCAGCAGTACGCATTCATGATCCCGCCCCCCCCACGACACTCGAACCTAGGACCTATCAGTCTTGCTCTCGAGTGCTTAACCATTAGACCACTGATCTGACCAGCACCCAACAGTGTTAATGTCTAACTTCAACCAATCCACGAAATTGCGCCACCATAGAAAATCTGAAATCACTGGACGGCATTTTCGTTCTAGTAGGGGACTCCTCAGCAATGAGCATCCTTGATCCCGCTCCCGTAATTAGGATCCAGGATTTATCGATTTCTCACGCAAACGCTTAACCTCTAGACCACTAAGTTGGCCGTCATCCAATGATATTAATATCTTAGTTCAACTAATCTATGAAATTGAGTGACACATTCATCATTGTCTTCAGTGAGTTACTAACTTACAACAGACCCGATTGAACTCAACTGGTCACTATTTCTCACTAGAACTCCAGGATATATCTCTTGAAGCTAGTCAATAGAAATCATATATTGATCAATATCAAAAGGGATTTTTCTGGATATTATAACAATCTCAATAGTTGAGATCATGATTTCCATTGAATTTAGATCACCATGGAAAATTATATAAACTTCATATATTGGTTTGCTAGTTTCCACAAATATTTAATATTGGTCATTTATTTAATCTAAAAGTTTTTCAAGAGTAAAGAAAAAGAGAGAAAAAAGAGAAAAACAATTGGAGATTGTTTTTTTCTCTCTCAATTTACAGTTACTCTTGTGTGTATGTCTGTTACAGTTAACATTGAATGAATGAATGAATGAATGAATGAACGAATGAATGAATGGTATATATTCTTCATTTTTAATAAACATGTACCGGATGTGAATAATTTACAAATTAAAACAATAGAATACAATAGAATAAGATAGAGAGAGAGGGAGGGAGAGAGTGAGACATAGAATAGAAATACAGAACAAGAATATAAAATTAGACATTTAAATTTCACTTGTCGACCTTCCCCTCATAGCAATTATTATTATTACTGTATTAATAATGTATCATTTCCGGTGACTCAATGAATAAAAATTATGGAAAATTTGAATGAACACAATGAATAGAAATGAGGAAATCAAAATTGAAGGAGGGGAGGGGTAGTTGGGTATGGGAAGATAAGAAATAGGATATGTTCAATAATCAATCGAAACATTTATATACTTGGGTAAATCCAATACAAGTATATTTTTTAGTTTATAAAATTATTATGATCAGAATGTGGGGGGGGGGGAGAGGGAGTATGGAGATTGTAGTAATTTTAATAGTCAATGTAAGCTAGAACACTATTGAAAACCTGAAAGTAATGAATGGTTATTTCATTCTAGTATGAGACTCTTCAACAATGTGCATCCATGAATTCAGCACCTATCGGTCTTATGCGCAAACACTTAACCTCTAGATCAATGAGCTGGCACCCTACGATGTTAATATCTAACTTCAATCAATTCATGATCTTGTGCAAACATTCATCCATTGTCTAAAGTAGAATTTTGTCTCTACTCGACATGGATTGAACTCCACTAGTCACGGTTTCTCACTGCAACTCCAGGAAATCCATCTTGAAGCCTGTCACTAGTGAGCATATGTTGATTATGATCAGATTGGTAGTTTATAGATATTTAAGTGATTTCATCAAGTAAATAGTTTTAAGAAATGAGCTGATGAAGAAGATTTATATTTCAGATGGATGATTTTAGTGGAATTTTATTCTCTGAGCTAGATAGTTTGATCGTGAAACATTCATTGTTCTCCAGAACAACATTATCAGTACAAACTTTTATGATCCAGATCAAAGAAGAAAACTTTAAAATCATTGACATATACTACAAATCTTCTCCATATAAGTAGTTTATTTGATAAAGTACAATTGATAACCAACTCATAGATAATTTAAATAACCCTATAGTACAATAAACTGTGATGATGAAGTACTTGAACCAATGATAAAGTGAACACTCTTAAGTCTGACGCCTTAGACCGCTCGGCCAGTCCGACGTAATGATAAAGTAATTCTATTTAATTAAACAGAATTTCTGTTATCTTTTTAATTCAATGTTTAAAACTATAGCAATTAAGTCATTTTAAAAAAATTTTCAAATTTCAATATAAAGATGGATAAAGGTTAGGATGCTCTCCACTTCGTCCTATTTGGATGAACCTACACCACAGAGTTGATGTTCATTCCAGAGCTCGAACCCAGTACCGTTCGCTTCAAACGCCATCATGTTATCCCTTTAGCTACTGAGTTCAGATAACCACTAGCTTGTGCAATGAGCTTAAGTTTAAATTCATTTAGTATTGTTTATTGGAAACTTCCCATTGATGTTTAGGACTGCAATTGATCGGTCGCTTGTTGGCATATGTGCTTACCGTGCATGTTCCCTCTATATTGTCTTAATTCACAAGCATTCTAAGCAAACATAGATAGTGGTTAGCAGTGTAATCAAGGACAAGCGTTTCGTCCTATTTGGGACTCGTTAGTTGGATGTATCCGGATCCGGGAGTCGATGTTCACCCCAAGACTCGAACTCACAACTATTCGCTTCGAACGTCATCACATTATCCTTTTAGTAAACAATACCAAGTGAATTTAAACTTCACGCCATTGTACAAGCTAGTTCCTATTTGGGCTAAGTGGATAACACGATGGCGTTTGAAGCGAACGGTACTGGGTCCGAATCCTAAATCAGATAAAAGACGTGTCCTGGGTTCCATTGTGAGCCAGTACCTCTCTTTGCTTATAAACCTTGTGACTCCAGACAATATCGAGGCAATCCACACAAGATGTATCTATGCCTATAAACAACTGATCAATTACAGTCATAAACATCAATGGGAAAATTCATGTAAAGCAACACCACATTAATCAATTACATGATTTACATTGAACTATTTGATCATCAATCCTTCAGAAATCATTCAAAACTTATCTAAGTATACGATCAGATCAATATCAATAAACAAAATTTACTATAACTGATATTGGAATGACAAAAAAAAAACGGGATTCCGTTTATTCCCTAGTGAGATAGTTTTCGATTAAAAAAAAAAGAAGAATTCTCACGAGAGTTTTCTGCTACTTTCCTATTCTAATCTAGTTGATCATTTATCTTTCTATATTAGTGCTTTTAACAAAAATCTATGTGATTAGATTGTTCAAAATGTGTTGATGATCTTCGTCTTCTTATTATATTATCGAAATTTATCTATGAGATCTTCATATAACAGTGTTAATGTCTAACCTCCATTAATTTACCTTGTGTCGAGATCATCTTCCATTGTGTTTGATAAGTGAATGTCTCAAACTCAACATAATTCAGCTTCACTGGTTATAGCTTCTCGCTAGAACAGAATTCAGAGAATTCCCTCTTCAAGTTAGTCACTAATGATCATATGATCATTTGCAGTTTGTGGTAGTGCAGATTGTTCAATTGTATTGAATTTATGAAGTGATCAATGTGTGTGTATCATTAAGAAACTGAAAGAAGTGGACGGTTGATTGGTCCTAGTATGCGACCGTTAAGTGGTGTACATCAACGGTCACATACATGCAATTCAAAATGAACACTGTAGAGCTGACACGCGAACACTTAACCAGCAGACCATTGAAACATCATCTAACAGTGACAATGTCTAACCTCAACTAATTCACCATATGTCGCAATCAACTTTCATTGTGTTCAATGGGTTCATCTCTACTGGTCCTATTGTGTTTTTTCTCTAACTAAACTACAATACTAACTATGAAATAAAATTTGAGCATATCTTTGAAAGTTAAACTTAACTTATCTACTGTTGAAATTTAGAAGGATAATCATCTATAGAAAAGCTTAGATAGTCACTTTCATAATGCTTCATGTAATACAGATATTTATTTTATTTTGATTTATTTGAACACATGAATATTGGTACCAAGAGGCACCGAATACATATACCTCACATAAGTCACTTGATTTGTGTGTGAGCTATGATACTACCTGGGTGCCCAGATCAAAGCAGACGGTTCCCATAGGAGGCCATACCCAAACCATTCAACCTAAAGATCTGATCTACAAAGCAGTGGAGCAATGTCCGTAGATGCAGTCCCATGGTAGACGTTGATCAATACCGATTTATACATATATATTGTTAAATTTAATTGATACTATGTATTACATTTGGTTTGCATATACTGTAATGGAAGAAGATTTGGGTAGGTATTAAATAATACAAATTTTCATAGTGTCTTTGAGGAATATGATAACAATGCACTAAGTACACTATTTGCACATCTTTGATGAAATATCTCTTCCGAACTTCATTATTCTTTCATTGTTGTTGTTTACCTTTCTTTTTTATTGATTTTCCGGTTCTCTCACTAAGAGTTCTATTTCTCATGTCTAATACATACTACTTATATTTGGTGACATCAGTAGCACATACCATAGTACACTATGACTATATTTCACCATTTTTCTTACAGTTCAACAAGACATCTTTGTATTCATTCAGTTAGATATAAATCAATTATCTATAATCATTGATTATAGATAGTATTGATTTATTGATTATATTTTCTGACGATAAATCGATAATGTATGTGTTTATTTTCTTACTTGGATACTCTTCGAAATATTGATTATGGAAACATAATAATAATAATAATAATAATAATAATAATAATAATAATAATAATGACAGCTTACTTATTCGTTCATTATTCTGTAATATTTGTTGAGTTCTACGTCGTACAATACAAATAGTAAATAGAATAATTAAAACTAATATTGAGAAGAATATAGATAATCCAATGATCAGTACTTCACCAAGTGAATATCTTCCAAGATAAGTAGTTGAAGTACCAGAACCACTTGATGATGATGATGATGATGATGATGACGATATAGATCCATGACTTGATTGTGACATGAAAATATCATCAATTTTTTGATTAATAGATAAATCAGTTTGTCTGTATTCATTTGATTTCCCTTCATCAATAATATTTGATGAACTGCGAATCTATGTGTAAATAAAGAGATCATTAAAAAAATTTAAAGAATCTAAATATCAATAATTGAGTTCATGAGTCAATTGAAGCTAGACCAACAATGAAAAACCTTGAAGCAATGGATGGCCATTTCATCCCATTGTGGGATTCCTCAGCAGTGAGCATCCATGATCCCGCCCCCGTTGCAAGATTCAAACCCTTAACACTAGATCACTGAGCCGGCCAGCATTGAACGGTGTTAGTGTCTAACTTAAACCAATCTAAATATGCTTAGAAAGTTATTAACAGGAAAGCTTTATAAGATTAAGATAGAACTGAAACAACATTTTATTTTGATTTATGATCAATCATTTGCCTTCACCGATAATTCTACATGTAATGTAGCCTAAGGTCAAGGGATAAGTGAAATGCTACTGATTCAAAATTGAATGGTTTATATCTTTATCTCTAGTGAATGAACAATTTCGATAAATTGCTTTTTAATCTTTATTAATCATGAAGGTACGTATATCAAATCCTTTATAGAAAAACAAAAACATTTCATTTTATTTTTGATTGAGACCATGAAGTGATTGATGTTAGACCACCACTGAAAGCATGGAAGCACTAGATGGCCGTTTCGTTCTATTGTAGGACTCCTCAGTAGTGCGCATCCACGATCCCGCTCGCGGGATTCTAACCCAGGACCTCCAGTCCAGCGCACGAACGCTTAACCTACTGGACCACTGAGTCAGCATACAATGGTGTTAATGTCTAACCTCAAACAATCATTTGAATAAGATTATTATTTCTATCGAAATATATTGTGCTGTGTGTACTATTGATATCAACAGATATAAGTAGTATGTGTCACTAATCAAAAATGAAATGCCTGGTGGCAGAAGGTCAAGAAGATCGAAGGAGTGAGAACGAGAAGACAGAATGATTAGTGTAGAAACGAAAGAACAATGAAGTTTGAGATGAGTGATTGACAATTTGCAAATGAAGTATTTACTGTATGGTTCTTAGAATTTAATAAGAGATTCTGTAATTGTGTGTACAAATACATTCTATTGTCTTCATTCGTGTTCTCGTTCACTACAATATCTGTTCATTATAGATGCTTAATTGTATAACATGATAAATATGTGTACATGCTGTAAGTCAATGGATTATTATTGTTAAGGATAACTCAGTCCAATTTCAATAACTCCGACTGTTAATCTAACTGACAATACATTGTGTAATTTTAAAAGTTAGGATCATAAGTCAATCGAAGCTTGACTATCATGGAAAACCTGGAAGCACTAGACGACTGTCTCGTCCTATTGTGAAACGAAACGGCCGTCCAGTGCTTCCAGGTTTTCCTTGATGGTCTAGCTTCAATTGATTCACCATTTCAACTACTATAAATTACAAAATTTATTGTCAGTAAGATTAATGTTAAAATGAAGTATCTGTTCAGTCTTCTTTGACTTCCAAGAATTGTTTATTTACAGTCAATTTGAAATCTTCATCAATTCTTACAAAACACTCATTTCACTATTAAGAATAATATAACCAGAAAGCATCATCGATGAACAAGGAAAGTCGGATGCGGACGTAAACGCAATGATTGGCAAAGTTAGGATCGCATTCCTACAATTGGAAATCATATGGAACTTAAAACAACAGTCAACCAATATCAAAGTCAGAATCTTCAATATGAACGTAAAGAAAGATCTACTATACAAGTAATTATTAATAGCTGTCTACGCAACATACTCAACATCTATTGGCCGAATACTATCAGTGACAGCCTTCCGTGGGAGAGAACAAACCAGCTTCCAACTGAAGAGGAATATAGGAAAGGACCATGCAAATGGATAGTATATGCATTGAGGAATTCATGAAACTGCATTACGAGACAAGCGCTAACTTGGAATCCTGAAGGGAAGCAGTAAAGAGGGAGGCCAAAGAATACATCACGTCAGGAAATAAAAGCAGATATGAAAAGAATGAATAACAACTGGAAAGTGTTGGAAAGGATTGCCCAGGACAGAGTTGGATAGAGAGTGTTGGTGAGCGCATATGCTCCTTCACAAGGAGTAACAGGCGTAAATAAGTAAATAAGTAAGAACAAAGCAACTATTTGAATTGTTAAATCAAGGAATTACTTTGGTTAGATAACTACTGAAAGGAATTTAGTGTTGTTTCATTTTAGTGTGGAACTTGTTAATAACGAGCATCCATGATTCGATCAAAGTTAGGATATAAACTCAATCACTTGACGTTTTAAATTGTCACTGAACTGTCTGAAAGTCTTAGATTTGATCCATGATGGGGTTGTGGATGCTCACTGAGGACTTGTTTCAAAACAAATCAACTATTATTATTATTGGTAGTAGTAGTAGTAGTAGTAGTAGTAGTAGTAGTAGTCTGAGTAGTAGTAGTAGTAGTAGTAGTAGTAGTAGTAGTAATAGTAGTATTAAATTACCTGTATCTGAAGATTTGGAAAATGTGTACATCGTCTTGGTTCTCCATGATCACATGCATCTAATGCTAGTAAAAATGTTGGATAAGTTAAATCATTTCCTTGATTATTTATTATAGTTTTTTGTTTATTATTTGTTATATATTGTCTTGGTATTTGACTTTCTAAATATAATAATCCAGTTCTTGAATCAACATTAAATAATATTCCAGCTGTTTCACCTTTGATTGTATAAGATACTTGTCCATTTAAACCTTCATCTGGATCTATTGCTAATAACTAAATGAAAATAAAATAAACAATTCATTATAGAATAAATACACTTAAAATACAAAAAAAAAAAAAAAACAGTCCCAGAATGGACATTAACTCTAAGATGTAGATACATCAAGTTGACGAGTTCAAAAAAGGACAAAATGCGCATCCTGGATCCTACCGTTAGCCACCGTTCATCTTTTCAGAGCAAACAGGTTACCTAGATTTGATATGAACGTCTATATTATGATAAGAAATGAAGTTTACTGGTAGATTCAACTAGGTTTAAAGTAATTATAAACAAAGGTAAAATCATATTTGGTTAACAGTACAATTGAAATGGATGAGTTTTTGTTAACTTTATCCAATAATCTACCAGCATTATGATTATTATAGAAATCTGAATAGCTTTATTTATACCTAGTCTTAAATTAAAGTGAAAAATCCATAAAATTCTTTTTAGTTTTCAATGGTTCTTTGACTAATATCAATTTTATCAAAAAGTGGGTTTTGTGAAGATTTTAGTAATTTCAATAGTTGGAATCATGAATCGATTGAAGCTAGATCACCATGGAAAATGGGGAAGCATTGGACGGCCTCTCATCCAGGTATGGGACTTCTCAACAGTGTGCATCCACAATCCCGTCTCCCACCCGCAAAATTCGAACCCAAGATCCGTCAATCTCGCGCATGAGCGCTTAACCACTAGACCACTGAGCTGACCGGCATCTAATGGTGTTAATGTCTAACTTCAACTAATCCACGAGGGGAGGGGCGGGATCGTGGATGGGTACTACTGAGGAGTCTCATACTAGGACGAAACAGTCGTCCAGTGTCTACAGGTTTTCCATGGTGATCTAGCTTCAATCGACTCATGATCTCAACTAATATCGATTTGTATAAGAAAACGGTGAAACTATAATTTATGAATGACCTTCAAGCGACGCCAGATTGACCTTGAATTTCGCGCCAAATTCCAAAATCTTTAATCATATATCTGATTGGTTTGTCCATAAATTATAGTCATTTCTTCTTTTTTTTTCTTTTTTTCTTTTTCTTCTTCTTCTTCTTCTTCTAATTATTATTATTATGTCATAATTGGTTAAATACTTTTATGCATGATAAAATCTGCTATTTAAGTTTCATTATTCCCATGAGTTAGATATATACCATTAACCGAAAAGTAGATTTTTCTTAATGGAAAACAAAATAGTTTCTTTAATTATTTATATTCTATACTTTAAATAATTGTCAGTTAACTTTTTATTGCTTATTTATTCAATTTTCAATTTACTTATTGAATAGAGCATATATAGAAAATAATGAAATGAGTTCATCATAATATAGAATAATGATTAATAATTGAATACATGAGTGAATTGGTTGAAGTTAGAAATAAACATCTTTGGATACTGGTCGGCTTCGTTGTCTAATGTTTAAACGCTCGCGCGCGAGATTAATAGGTCCTGGATTCGAATCTCGCGAGGGCGGGATCATGGATGAGCACTGTTGAGGAGTTCCATACTAAGATGAAACGGCCGTCCATGGTGATCTAGTCACAATTAACTCATGATTTAAACTATTGAAATTTCTAAAATCTCCACAAAAGCCCTCTCTGATAATAATCATCTGCTCACCAATGACTGACTTCAAGGGGGATTTCCTGAAGTTCTAGTGAGAAACAGTGACAAGTGGAGTTCTTCTGAATCTGTTGTGAAATTGTAACTCAATGAAAGTAATGGTGGATGTGTCGCTCAATTTCGTGGATTAGTTAAAGTTGGACATTAATAACGTTGAATGCTGGTCGTCACCGTGGTTTAATGGTTAAGCGCTCGCGCGCGCGATTGATAGGTCCTGTGTTCGAATATCGCGAGCTTGGATCGTGGATGAGCACTTTTGAAGAGTCCCATACTAAAACGAGAGGCCTTCCAGTGCTTCCAGGTTTTCTATGGTGATCTAGCTTCAATTGATTCATGATTTCAACTATTGAAATTACTAAAATCTCCACAAAACCTCTTCTGACTTTATGTTATTCTACATCGTTCGTTATTTTTACTTTAGTCAAACTTATGTGTGGAAAAGTTTGTTTTAACTTACTGAGTTGATCATGACTTTTAATTGTCTTTAGAAATTAAGTAGTTGGAGTCAATCTAAGGAAAATAATTGACCCAGGTTTTATGGTTCTTGAAACTCATCAGTAGGATATATTTAGAATCGTAAAGACATTTGTGTTCCTGTGGAGTTTAAAAATCACGTTACTGAGTATCATGGTCAGAGATATCACTGGTGAGCTGTTGTAAATGTAATTGACCTCATATTTTACACATGTAGGTATGTTTACTTAATTCACAATTCTTCAAGTTCCCGAAAACTATCAGTATAGGGTTATGGAGATTGTTAAGTTTTTGATTGAGATCATGAACTGATTGATGGTAGACCACCATTGAGAACTTAAAAGCACTGGACGGCCATTTCGTTCCAACGTGGGACTCCTCAGCATTGAGCACCCATGATTCCACCTTCTGGGTTCAAACTCAGGGCTATCAACATCAACCAATTCATGATTGAAATTCCCGAAAACTATCTTCAACATGTGATTTTACCTTTGAATTTTTTATTTTTAGTACCTTTCTAAATTATCTTAGATTCTTAAGGTTTTCAGCTGTTGATGAAACAGCAAATGAAAATTTGTTTTGACTACATTAGAATATCATGGAGGTCACTCTGTTGGCGGCTTCTATCACGGATTAATCTTAGTTAGAGAACCACTGAGAAATAAGAAGCACTGGATATGTATTTTCTCGTAGCATAAGGTTCTTCAGTAATGGATATACTTAATCCTACAGAAGATCGGAGCTCGAAATCTCATACTCTGTAACAGATGCCTAATTATAAAACTATTAAGTTGGCATTCAATAGTTTACATATCTAACTCCAGCTAATTCATCATTTTGAGATGCACAAATATAGGAACAAGAATCAAACCAATAGGAGACAAAACCAAGACAAAAAGGTAAACAATGACAAATTTAAGGTCAATAAGAACCAATCAACATCGAGGTGCACAGAACAAGCTGTGAAACACATATGGAGAAATTCGAACACTTCACTTCTATCTGAAGTTTGTGCTGATGATGTCGTTCAAAAGAACGATGAAAGCTCCACGACCAAACCATCCAGCTCAGAGAACAAAACTCCATCAAAATTCATCATTTTCATGATGAGTCTTATATGGGACGAAACGCAAGTTTCTCACTTAACAATTAGTTACCATTTCAAATATAAAACAATTTAAAAATGCAGATCAAATTTAACAATACTGTAATATAAACCATAACAGAAATTATTTAATGTTTGATTATAATTTTAATCAATCAATAATATTCATTACATACTTGTGATAAAGATTGTCCAGGTATAGTTGTAGGATTTAATAATATCATATGATTGGTTGAATTTGGTCGAATAAATACTGGATCATTATCATTTTCATCTTGTATAGTAATTGTAATCATAATAGAAGCTGTATGAGAACGATAATTATTAATAGTACGTTGAAGTTCAACTTTATTATCAGTAGTATTTGTTATTTGAATAATTTTATCAGGACCATCATGTACATATGCATAAAATGTATATGTTCCTTGAATTTCACGATCTAATATTGTTCTTGAAAGTATAAAAAATACAAAGTAAAAATCCTTTATTTTGATTATGAAATGAAGTTATTCATTGAACATTCAATTATACTATCTTTCGAACATTTAGAATACCAGAAATCTATTAAATGAATCCGTATTCCAATAGAGGATACTCGTAAGCTACTAGTATTTGACCACAGATGTCTTAGAAACATTGCTCACATCTACTGGGATCATTGGGTAAGTAACAGTGAGGTTAGATGTAGGGTATTAGGGAATGATAGTAAATCAGTTAGTGAGGTTGTGAATCTTCATCAACTGAGATGGTTGAGTCGCGTGTTACGTATGCCTGAACACCGATTATCATGATGTGCAATGCTAACGGGTGTTGGGGATGGTTGGAAGAAAATTAGGGGCGGGCAAATCAAAATGTAACATTAGTCATTGAAGTCACTAACTTCTAGTCTTATCCATGTTGGTAGATGCAGACTACCTGGTTGAGGTCCGCGTGAGTATCGTAACCAGTGGTTGGTGACTCTTGGTGACATGGCTCAGAATCGATCACAATGTTGTAGGTGTATACACTATATGTATTCCCTTAAACTATGAGGATAAAATCGCTTCATATCTTTCTATCTACTAATTAATTCTTTCTTCCTGTACTATATCCCTATACACAATCTTTCTTTTATATATTACTATCATCGAGGTAACTACTATGAATCAGGTATCCATCTTGTTGTGTTAATCAGGTGTGGAAACTTTGATCGATGCATATACGTGCCTAGTCCTACGTTGTAGGTTAATGAGTGACTGACGATCCTAGTATATTGAAAATTCTCGTTTAGATATTTGATAAAAAACAATTTCTTTTCAATTTAGATAAAATATTTGTGTAACTATAGAGTTATGAAGACTGTTGAGTTTCATTGAAATTATCAACCGATCAATGTTAGACTACCATTGAAAACCTAGAAGTACTTGAAGACTGCTTCATCCTAGTATGGGACACCTCAAAAGTGTACACCTACGATCCGTCGCAGAAAAAAATTGAATCCAGCACCTTCGGTCTCACACGCGAACACCTAACTTTCAAGTTGCTACGCCAGCATCTAGACGATAAGATGGCTATGTTATATTGGAGTCTGTTGATTAATTTATTAGTTAGCCTATCTAAACATTATTTACTAGTTTCATGATAAATAAACTAAACCCTGATCATAATTACCGTGGTGAAAATATAAAACACACTAAAATTATGAAATCTAGTTAGCAAGACTACAACTGATGGACGAACCAATCAGATTTAGGATAACAGATCTTGGATTTTTGGCACCAAATAGGGTTTCGGCATTATAGTTTATGTCAGTTCATAATGAAAACCACCCCCAAACCTAATTTCTAGCCTTAACCAACAATTGTAATTCTTAATTCTAATTCCTCACCCTGTTTTACATCCCTCGTTTAGTTCTAGTAAATGATTGGACATTCTCAGGGTCAATTTAGTGTCACTCAAAGGTTGTGCATAAATTATAATCCCACCAAAAATAACTGTTATGAGGTTTATCAATGTTTTTTCCCTAGTTTTTGATATTACTATTTGCAATTGAAGTAATCAAATTGTCATAATCCGTTGAAAATGGTAACTTTTAGAATTCATTGATGAATCAATACTATACGTACATGTTTTATCGTATAATTGTTAAATAACTAAACTATTCCGATTCGTGTCCCTCTTATTATGAGCTTTATTTTGATCTATGAGCCATTATTCTACAATTTATCATTCTTGAATTATACCCAGTCTATCAGTTACTATCTCCCACATTCACAGACGCATTTGGCCAAATCTTGTACAAATGTTGTTTGCTATTTTATGGTATAGTGTGCTCTGTTTGATTGGTTTATAAACCCAGTATGTCTGAAATACATTATTTATATCGTAGAGGATGAGATTGGTGTTCTGGACTCTAACAGGTAGGGCTAGGCAGGATGTAGGACCGGTGAAGATTCTAAACTGTTCGTATGGGTTTTTTTGCGTCATAGGTTCGATCGATAAATCACTGCTCTCTAACTGGCGGTATCATCACATTATACATTAACAAGGCATACTGGTCACAAATCATTCAAGAAATGACAATAACGGCCTACGATAGAAAGATTCAATAGTATATTTATCGCTATATTTGACTATCTTTTATGAAGTCATACAACACAAACTATTAGGACAATAGAACAGTTTAGCACGAAGTAACTTCTAATATACTTTACTCTAATATTTTATTAATATCAGATGGGTTTTGTGGATATTATAGTAATTTCAATGGTTAAGATCATGAGTCAGTTGAAGCTAGACCACCATGGAATATCTGGAAGCACTGGACGGCCGTTTCGTCCTGTTGTGGGACTCCTCAGTAGTGCTCATCCACAACCTCTCCCTCGGCGAGATTCGAACCTAGGACCTACTGGTCTTGCGCGCGAGCACTTAACCACTAGACCACTGAGTCGCAATCCAACGCTGATCTTAACCATTGAAATTACTATAATATCCACAAAACCCATCTGATATTAATCAACATATGCTCACTAGTGACTGGCTTCAAGAGGTATATCCAAGAGCTCTAGTGGGAAGTTATTGACCAGTGGAGTTCAACCAGTTCTGTTGTGAGATAGTAACTCACTGAAGACAATGGTGGATGTGTCGTTCAATTTCGTGGATTAGTTGAAGTTAGACAATAACACCGTTGGATGCCGGTTAATTCAGTGATCTAGTGGTTAAGTGCTCGCGCGCGCGACTGATAGGTCCTGTGTTCTAATCTCGCCGAGGGCGAGGTTGTGGATGAGCACAACTGAGGAGTCCCACAATAGGACGAAACGGTCGTCCAGTGCTTCCAGGTATTCCATGGTGGTCTAACTTCAACTGACTCATGATCTTAACTACTGAAATTAATATTGTATTATTTTATTATGTATATCAATCTGTTTATCGAATATATTGCGTGTATGATGGTTATCAGATGGGAAGATAGATGATTCTGTTGTGATGACATGAAATAGAACTAAATAATCAATAACTAGTTATTATCAAGTTTCAATCTGAAGTCTTTAAAATCAATAAAGTTTACTTGTCAGTAAGTTATAGAAATAAGAATTAGTAAGTGAAATTGTTGTTCAGAACAACAGCATAAGATTCATATTAATCATGAAGTTAACTATTCAGCTTAGAAAACGTGATACCACTCACTTGAGTTAAACATTTCTTTATTATTAAAAGAAATATGTGCAAATGCTTACATCAAATCGATTAATTATTATACATTGATTGATCACTGAGTAGTGATTAATATAATGCGTTTCTAGTATTTAGCCTCCGAATGCCCTAGTACAACCGAGAGTGAGAAGAGTTAGCAATTACTCTACAAATGCTTTCACGTGGCCATGTGTATACAACCACTACCAGGGAAGTCCTACTCACTTTATTCTCAAGGCAGGGGTATTGTTTACGAAATTCAGAGAACGTAAAGCAAATGTCCGATGCTTTAACCGGGTTGGTGAGACTGAAGGATCCAACTAGAGGAGTTAGAAAACCCTGATTCCAAACCAATGATGCACACGAACTATAGGATTTTAAGGGAACAAATGGTGTATGAATCCATTGTTGGTCACCGACTACCATGGGACTGCATTTCCTGACGTTACTCCACTGCCTTGTGAATCAGACGTTTAGGTCAAAGACTCCGGGTGTGACATCCAACGAAAACCGCCTGCTTTGGTTTAGCCACCGAGACAGTATCATAGCCCACACACAAATCAATTAACTTGTGTAGTGCATATGTATTCAGTGCCCCTTTGTTTCAATATTTATATATACTAACATTTAAATAAATAAATAAACCTAGTAACGATTAAATTGGAATAGGGTATTAATCAATAAACTAAATGGTCCGACTTCTTAAACTTGATGTTGTCTAGTAAATAAAGACGATCGACAGGAACCTCTATACATACATTTTATCCCTATTGACGTTCACTAGCAAGTAATACATATAATCTTAGAGGAAATGATATTTTCCGTACAATTCGAAACCAATTTAATTACTTCTGACCGACCAATGTGATTTATCCAAATGTAGCAAAATATGGGTACAATTCACTCATAATTAAATGTATAAAGATGTTGTCATAAATAATTTAATCTTCAAATATCGGGCTTCTTCTAATGTTAAATCAGAATGGATTGGTTGAAAAGCTTTCAGTTTTGATCTTAACAACATTATTTGAACTCTTTGAAGTATATCCTGATGATGTTGTTCAGAAATCAATTGAATCTTCTTAACCAATCCATCCAGTTCAGAGGTTACAGGAGTTCCAATATCTTCATCTTGATCTACAACTATTTTTCATCAGTTTTAACATAGTTTCTATTATGGACTAATTTCATTCATAAAATAATTGAAAACTATAGAGTACTAAAAAGATATTTTAAACTATTTGAAGACTTTTAAAGCAAAGATAGATAATGGCTATCAATGGAATTCAGGATGTGTGTTTTGTTCTATTTAGGACTCGTCAACTAAATATACCTGCATCTCAAAGTTGATATTCACTCTGGGATTCGAACCCAGTACCGTTCTCTTCAAACACCATCACGTTAGCCACTTAACGAAGCGATTGTACTGGATTCGAGTCTCAAAGCGAACATCAACTTTGAGATGTAGGTACATCCAGCTGACGAGTCCTAAATAGAACGAAACATACGTCTTGGATTCCACTTCTGACCTCTATTCATCTTGGCTTATCAATGTTTGTGACTTAAGGTAATATCGATGCAATCCACACAGGATACACATATACCAACAACAGACAGATCAATTGCAGTCGTAAACAACAATTTATTTAAGGGTTGTTTTCATAATGTTTAATCTGATTACAATAAATGAATTGGCGAGACTATAATTTATGTACGAACCAATCAGATATAAGATAACAGATCTCAAATTTAGGCACAAAATCCATTCCTCCATTTGG